ATTTAGAAAAAGGTGTGTGTGTGAACATATTACCTATGCCACAAGGTGACTTGGCCGAGGGCTCACTTAACATGCAAGGTGTCTGTGAAACCGGGGGATGCACATCCTTGCATCCTAACTCTGGATCTGCCAGTGAGTGAGTGAGTGAGTATGGTTTTACGCCGCTTTTAGCAATATTCCAGCAATATCACGGCGGGGGACACCAGAATTGAGCTTCACACATTGTACCCATGTCGGGAATCGAACCCGGGTCTTCGGCGTGAGAGCGAACGCTTTAACCGCTAGGCTACCCGACCGCCCCGGATCTGCCAGTGTATATTGTTACGAACACATAGCAGTGCTGTGAACTATGAGGACTAGAAATATCCAACAATATTTCTATTTTAAACTGTTTACTGCCGGAACGTCAAACATAATAGACTCCATGATTAACTGGATAATTGCTCCGTCAACCAACTTAATGGCAAAAATCATTTACATAGTAATGAAAAATAAAAATAAATTTGAATTTCTAAAAATATGTTGACCCCTTCACATACTCACACACATAATGAGAATTCTGTAGTTTTATGATAGAAAATGACGGATACATTTTCAATAGGACTCATTTTTCATTGTACTACATAATCTCACTGCTGGCTGCATTTTGACACAAATTCCTCACACTTGATACCCGAGTGCCAATTACATTAGCTACGGTACAGAGGATGTACAATGCATTGCTATAGATGACATTATCTGTGATCAGCCATGCATAGCTGGCTATGTTTCTTTGCCAATGAAAAGCATGAAGCACCTAGTGACAGTAACACATGTTCACACATTCCTGTCTCCCTCTTGCACACTGAACAAATAAACATATTTATCAGATTATGTTGTTAGTTGGATTGAAAAAATATTTATACTGACTTGATCAAATCTGAACATCATTCATAATGGATAAAACAGTATTGATCTTGTGATATATCTTGTTGTTCTCAACAAAGGGGGCTGTTTTACATCGCACTGGTGGAATTGAAATAGATTATTGTCTTTAGCTTTTAAATGTTTGTTGTTTCAGTCAGTAATATGACAGTAGCCTCGAAATAATTAAGTGTTGACCAGACAAAACAGTGATTGAAATTATGAGCAATGTCCATGCCCATGACATTGGGGATATGATGACACACAATCAATCCCTTTATCACTCACACATTGCCTTCCGCACTCACACATTCCCTGCTTCACACACATCAAATTCCCTTCTTATCACACACATCACATTCCCTGCCATGCACACATCACATTCCCTGCCTCACACACATCACATTCCCTGCCATGCACACATCACATTCCCTGCCTCACACACATCACATTCCCTGCCTTGCACACATCACATTCCCTGCCTCACACACATCACATTCCCTGCTTCACACACATCACATTCCCTGCCTCACGCACATCACATTCCCTGCCTCACACACATCACATTCCCTTCTTCTCACACACATCACATTCCCTGCTTCACACACATCACATTCTCTTCTTCTCACACATCACATTCCCTGCCTCACACACATCACATTCCCTTCTTCCCACACACATCACATTCCCTGCCTCACACACATCACATTCCCTGCCTCACACACATCACATTCCCTGCTTCACACACATCATATTCCCTGCCTCACACACATCACATTCCCTGCCTCACACACATCACATTCCCTGTCTCACACACATCACATTCCCTGCCTCACTCACATCACATTCCCTGCCTCACACACATCACATTCCCTGCCTCACTCACATCACATTCCCTGCCTCACTCACATCACATTCCCTGCCTCACTCACATCACATTCCCTTCTTCCCACACACATCATATTCCCTGCCTCACACACATCACATTCCCTGCCTCACTCACATCACATTCCCTGCCTCACACACATCACATTCCCTGCCTCACACACATCACATTCTCTTCTTCTCACACATCATATTCCCTGCCTCACACACATCACATTCCCTTCTTCCCACACACATCATATTCCCTGCCTCACACACATCACATTCCCTGCCTAACACATCACATTCCCTGCCTCACACACATCACATCCCCTTTTTCTCACACACATCACATTCCCTGCCTCACACACATCACATTCCCTGTCTTCCATTCTTCTCACACACATTTCCTATCTACACACATCCCCTTCCTCACACACATTTCCTGTCAACATACATTTCCTGCCTCACACACACCTCAATTTATTTTCAAACTATCACTCTTTCCTTCATTTCTTCTTTCACTCAAACAAAAATCTCCATCTTGACATCAAAATAATAAATATCTTCCCCACATTGATATCTGCCCACTATGCCACCACACAATACAGGTCCTCCACACAACATGACACCCCCACACAGCTACATTCCCCACCCCCTCACTACAGTCCTGGGGGTGACAGGTGACAGCCGACACACAAGGAAGCCTACCACCGCCGCAAATGTAATAAAATAAACAGTCTTACATTGAAGTGACATTATGAGGATGTATAAAGTGCGACCCTCGCAACATAAACCATTACGACTCACTCAGCTGTTGATAATGTACATCAGCCAAGTGAAGCTGAATCCAAGTTAAGCATGTCCGGCTCGTAAACAGCATTGCTGACAAACCGGTTCTACCAACCAAGAAGAAGACTCCTGTCAATATACCTTTCAATGTGGATACATTAGGATTCCTAGTAAGGTCACGTCTCACTGCCTAGGCAGCCTCCTGTCCCCTGACCCATCATCCATCTCCAAAACCTTCTACCCCACCACCTCTACCAAGCACCACCCAACCACCCAACCACCCAACCACTCAACCACCACCTTCTCCAACCTGCCACATTTGCAATTGACTTAGAGAGGATTTTGATATTTTGAACCCCTCCAGAGCTCCAGATAAGCTGCGTATCGGCGTAAAATACGCATCAGAAATGCAGAAATACGCAGTAAAATAAAATCCAAGTGTATCAAATACGCAACGAACATTACAGATATGCTACAGTAATAAAACTTGGGCATATCATCAAAATATTGTGAAGTAACCCTGCGTATTCGATTAGCAAATCAGCAACTTATTTTGAAATTATAAACGGGCATTCCGTCAACCTTGCCAAACTCCACGATGACAGTTACATCATGATCATTTGCCATCACACTTTAAGTATCGTGGTATTTGTGAGTCCTATAAAGCTCTCTAACCCACATGACACCAGTTTGCAGGGACTAGATGAATAGTGTTTTTAAATATTTCACTTAAATACCCACATGTGTAAAAACTAGAGGGTAACAGAAATTTGAATACCCAGATAGAATTACTGATACCCAAAGATTTTAAAATGCATGGATAAAAATACCCACAACACCAATAGCATATCTGGAGCTCTGTAATGGTGTAGGTAGAATGTCCTTGGCCAGAAACACCAGTGATCCCAAGTTTCTCACAGAGAGTTTGATCCCCAGATCAATGTGGTGCAAGCTGAGGGGCATCTACGAGGTGATATGTGACATTCTGTAAAGAGCCTGGTTGTTTGAGTAGGGGCTAGAGCTGGGACGAGTCCAAATTTACTACCCGGGTACCGGACCCCCTATTACTCTACCCTTCCCGGGTACCTACTGCAAGTCTTTAAGAGTATGGAACAAAATGTCTGATTGGTAATTGTTTTAAGCAGCCCTTGTTAAAACTATTTAGATACATGTATCAAACAATCAGATCATGCGTTCACTGAAGTTGACTGAAGCTTTATCTTCAAGCACACATATACAAGTCAAAAGGAATGTGTGCATCGTCAGAAAGAAATGCGAACATTAGCGACTTGAAGTGTAGTCATTTAACAATATATCACTTGACTAACAACGGGTCCGGGTAGTCCTGTGGGTACCCGGGTCCTCCTCAGGACCCACCCGACCCGAGTACCCGAGTTACCCGTCCCAGCCCTAGTAGGGGCTGATATAAAGTCCCCTTGAATACTGTAAATAGTGAAATTAATGCGTATCTGAAAGAATGCGACACCCCCTCCTCTCAAGCATCAGTGGATTTCTATCTAAAGATGTCCTCAGTCAGGTTTAGAATCCTCACCTTAATCCAACCTTACATTAATCCAATCACACACCAAATAACACCGTTTATTAGCGCTGAGTAAAGTACTTCCGCAAAAACAATACATGCGCACTGGCTCGTGTCGGCCTTTGACGCAGTCGCTTAGAACAAACGGTGGCGTCTGTCTGGACTTGCAGGTGTGATCACTGATGACATAAGTGAATAGAACTCTAGTATTCTGAGTATCATAGCAAACACATTAATTGAAACCCTCGAAAGTGAGGCATTATCAGTAACACTGCATTAATGGATGCATGCTGTAGTATACACAAGTGCAGTGATGCTCTCAGCATACTACAGTGTTATACAAAGCAAACATGCTGGAAACAATGCATTAGAACATTTTTATGAGTTTATCAAATTAAAATGCATGTGGGACATTCTTCTACATATTTACGATATTCAAAAAAACATCTTCTGGACATTTTGGACGACAATCCGTCAATGTCTGAGAAAATGAACTGATCATAAACCCTTAAAACATCCAGTAAGCCACAATGTAAAGTGAATGATTATCAATCTGACATTATCACCTGCTATCTTATCAAATGAACCTAGTGATGATAATCAAATCTTTTAGCAAAAAGCAGAGGCATTTTGGGCCAGAAGTGTAAGGCGTTGCCACTCATAAGCCATGACGAACTGGTCAATTTAAGTTATATGCCATGATCGGCTGAGGGCGGGTTCGAAGCCAAGATTCACCCTGATTATGATCATTAGTTTGTCAACATCACACACCATCATCATCATCATCATCAACATATCATCAGCAGCATCATCACATCATCATCAACATATCATCATCATCCACCATCATCATCATCATCATCCACCATCATCATCATTATCATCAGCTACATCTACATACAAGGCAACTCCATTTCCACCGCCGATGTAAAAGCTGGGAGTCATGTTGTTGGCGAGACTGCACGCTGGGAGCTTCGTGGGTTTGCCGCCAGGGGTTTTCTTTCCTCCGCCTCTATGTGGGGGACCGGCCCCATCACTGTTGCTACCACGCCCTTCCCCCCTGCCGGGATCAGAATTACCTGAAAAAGAAACTAAAAATGAGGTTCTGTAGCTCACATTTTGCATCGCAATCCATAATCACAGATCCTCTTCCATGATAAAGCCTCAGCTTGTCCTGAATATGGCCTGGAATAGCTTTGGTTACATGCAAGAGAAAGAAGATCTGGACTAAAACAAGCTTTCTCAGTGTAAAACAGTTTCAAGAGAACCCAGACTGTCTGTAATTTCTAGTTCTGAGTGAATAGCTGTCATTAATGCTACCTTATGAAATGAATTTTCATCTCAGGGCTAAAAGAGAACTTGTATGCCAAGCAAAGGGCTGATAGACATCATGAGCATCGATCCACACAACTGAGATTTGATGACATGCAATCAACCAAGTCACCAAGTTTGAACGCCAAATCCATTTAGTCACCTCTTACAAGGAGCCAAGGTCACTGGGGGCCTGTATTCAAACCCAGAATCCTCATGGGTCTCTTCTGACCTCGAGACACTCAGTGTAATTATTTCTTGAAACAAGCACCATGGGGGCCCAGGTCAGAATGAGTTTCCAGCATCGTCCCGAGGCAACAGAGTTAACTAAATTTAAAAGTTCAGTTTCCACCCTTGCCGAACTAGGCTGGAATTCCTCAATCATAGCGTCACCAGTGGCTATTATGAGTTTTGTCCCTTCTAAGCCTCTCCTATGGACAAAACAGATTCCTCCTCTCGTATCACTTGCATTTGCTTCAAATAAAATATCGGCACCCAGTCAAGACGATCTGATCGATAATCAAGATCTATTTTGTGATAAAACGGGTCTTACATTGCGAAGTGCATCAGATCACGTGAGCATCTTGATTAAAAACATGAAAAGATTTGGAAAATATTGAGTTGGCTGTGCACATGCTTTGCAAATCCTGCAATCGACCGAAATCTGCATTACAGTTTCAATTTCGTTGCATGATTTTGATTGGACGATGCATAGACTCATTAGATCAGATAAAATTTAACTCCATATTACCAGCCTAGTTCGGCAAGGGTGGAAACTGGACTTTTAAAGTCAGTTAACGCCCTTACCTAGGGAAGATGAGTTCCCAGGGGAAACTTAATTGCATTGGGTGGTCACACTTAGAAGTTGTGTGTCATCCTACCCATATGCTGCACATAATTTCAACCACTGGTTTGTCTGTCCAAGACAGTTGGTTGGTTGGTTTGTTGTTTAACGCCGCATTCAGCAATATTCCAGCTATATGACAGCGGTCTGTAAATAACTGAGTCTGGACCAGACAATCCAGTGATTAATATCATGAGCATCGATCCACGCAACTGGGATCGATGACATGCATCAACCAAGTCAGCAAGCCTGACCACCCGATCCCGTTAGTCGCCTTTTACGACAAGCATAGTCGCTTTTTACGGCAAGCATGGGTTGCTGAAGACCTGTTCTACCCCGGAATCTTCACGGGTTCTGTCCAAGACAGGATTATTTACTGATTGATGTGATACAGCTGGAATATTACTGACTGCAGGATCAAACAACAACGACACAAACAAGCTAAATACAAGTATGGTGATGGGGAAAGTGTTGCAACTTTAGTCATTTCATCCCCAACAAGACATAAACAGGCTTATCTAGACTTGCTTCGAGTAGCCTAGAGGCTGATATTTACAGCAAAGTCTACAGAAAATGTCATTGATAATTCCCTAATTTCCCAGTTCATATAACCAGGTAGTGATGTAATTTTAGCTACTTCTAGCTTGGTCAAGGTGAATTGTATTTCATTGATACAATGACCAATAAAGAGGAAGAGCTTTAATGTTTATTTTTTCATTATTGTATTGAATGCAATGTTACGATACCATGTTAAAATACCTATGAAATTAAGAAAATATTAAATCTCAATTTTGCCAAGAAACATCCCCCCCCCCCAAAAAAAAAATTGAGTGAGTGAGTGAGTGAGTGAGTGAGTGAGTGAGTGAGTATGGTTTTACGCCGCTTTTAGCAATATTCCAGCAATATAACGGCGGGGGACACCAGAAATGGGCTTCACACATTGAACCCATGTCGGGAATTGAACCCTGGTCTTCGGCGTGACGAGCGAACGCTTTAACCACCAGGCTACCTGACGGCCCCTGAGTGAGTGAGTGAGTGAGTGAGTGAGTGAGTGAGTGAGTGAGTGTTAACGCCACTTTTAACAGTATTCCAGTTATATCACGCCATGTCAGCTTAATGTGGGAGGAAAGCCCGAAATGATGCAGGTCTCATATGGGTATAGTGCTGACAAACCTTGACTTGGACGAACCAGGATTCGAACCCACAATCATAGGTCTCTAGCATGCCCAAGGGACGCAACTCTGCACACAAACTGCAGGACCTTAGAAGACTGGGCCACTGGGCCCTTTCAATGAAGAAAAACAGGCCTACCTTCTTATAAAGATAGTCGTATGACCTACTACAAGCACTTAGTGATGACAGCTGATGTTTTGTGAGGCTCTGTTTAAAGGTATTTGTTTATGGTTGTCAAACCGACACGCACTTAACACTGCAGTGGTTAGGTCAAGATCAACAGTCTTGATAACACGGATAAACATTGCGAGTATAAAGTACAAGGGTTAAGAATTCTAAACTCCTTTAATATTTCCAAAAATAGCACCTCAAATCCGTTGTATAAGTATTTAGTTTCTTATCTGAGAATTGAATTTACGTCTAAATTCCTACATTTGTGTATACAGATTGTGTATTGTTTTGAAATTGAAAGTAGATGGAAGAAAAAAACAGCTGTTTGATCAAACAGGACCAGTTTCGAAAGAAAAAAAACATCACAAGCTGGTGAAATATTCTATCCTTTAACCATTCTTCACCTATCACTCTTGTTTAAGAATAAGATGAAAAAGTGCCTAACAAGCGAAGTCAGCAAACACATTAGATTTATCGTTGCCTTCACAAGCATGTGCTTTGAGCCATATTGATAACTCAGTATAAAGGACATAACACTAAATCTTCATGAAAAAAAATAACCTCTAAGATCTGATCCAGGTCTTATTTAGGCCAAATCTCAAGGCGTGTTAATCTAATGATAAATGATATCATTAAAAAAAGTTCTTTGCTTGCACTGGGACAATAAACTTTCAATATTTTGTAGGGGCATGGAAGCCCTAGTGGTTTAAGACATTGTTGACAGCGGTGTTGAGATAGTCACTTCACCAAGATCTGCAGATTATGGTCTTCGGTTTGTCAGCACCATAAACTTATTCACTGGTTACCTGAAGTAAATGTCAACAACATACATCTATTAATAGGGTACCTGCAGTGATTTCGTGAAATATTGTTTTCATGTGACAATGAGTGAGTGAGTGAGTGAGTGAGTATGGTTTTACGCCGCTTTTAGCAATATTCCAGCAATATCACGGCGGGGGACACCAGAAAGGGGCTTCACACATTGTACCCATGTCGGGATTTGAACCCGGGTCTTCAGCGTGACGAGCGAACGCTTTAACCACTAGGCTACCCGACCGCCCCTCATGTGACAATGGATTTGGTGGTAGGGCTCAGCGACTTGGTTGAATGCGTGTCTTCTTACCCTGACGGTATGGATTGTTGTTCATACTACTGATCACTGGATTGGTAGATTTGATTATTTACAGATCGCCTTCATAATTGATTGCATATTATAGCTAAAATGGATAGAACTATCATTAAACCGCCTGCATGTTATCAGAAATGAGCGGGCCACTGTAACTTGATAATGCCCTCATATTGCCTGACGACGGGCCATTATCAAGCCAGTTGTTAGGTGACGTCATAGGGTAGGGATAAGTGACGTCACGTTCAATAGTGACGTCATCAGGTTTGTTCTATGACGTTTCCATATTTGTAAAAGTGGGTCAGTGACATTCGTGTTGATTGCTGTACATGTTTCAAAACTGATAATGTTGTTTCATTATATTTGAAAACAAATTCCATCCATTTTAGCTATAATAACGGCAACGCTCTTTTTTAGGGCATTATCATTTGCAGAAGCCCTAGGTGTTAAAAAAAACAACTTTCCCCCCACATTTAGTTGAAATACTGTGATAAATCAGCAACGAGCACCACCAATATATGTATATCAATATGACAAAAGGATTAGACTAAATGTAAATATAGCTACAGATTCATTTTCACAAATAGCAGGTACAGAGTGGTGTTACGACATAAGATCCAGAATAGAGATGTCTTTCTAAAATCTTTATTCCTCACCTGCAGTTCCCACTACATTAACATCGTAATCAAAAGAGGATTGCTTTGTCATTCCTAAACACCATCACCAAATTAAAGGTTGGTTATAATCCAACAAAACAGAATAAATCACTGCTGGCGTAAGAATCACTTCCCTCACAGTTCAATAACCAACATGGAATTCTCATTTCCTTGGAAACCATGAAAACAACCCTACAACGCTGTTGATCTATATTTCAACAAACAAGTTGGAGAATACAGGAGACACACAGACCACCATTAGCTGATAAATACAACCTTCCTTGTCTACCTATCCATGTCAACACATATATCACAATCATATCATGAGACCATTTATTAAACTTGACCGAGATTACACACAACATTCACATTGAAAGACTGTTTGTTCAAGCTGAAGTTAATAGCGATCTTCTTACAAGAATATAATCTTAAACATTGTAATTACCATTGAACCGAGTCGCCACTGTGTGTGATCAACACAGGAGACGATCCAGCTTGATAAAACCCTTAGATTCTTTAGTCAATGCATGAAGTGTGCAAGTTGTATGCTTAGTTGTAACTTAGAGATCACCTACCCGGTTTAGTTGGCATGGAAGCATGAATTGTGACTGTTGTCAAACTTGTACGGCGACGAGAAGTTGTTAAACAATCGAGTAGATTCCTCCCAACCTTCAAGACAGTATGCACAGTATAAACGTCGTCCTGATAGGATATTTTAATATGCGACTCGAGCAGGAGTGTTTATTACTGCATTACTTCATGACAATGTCAGGGTCGTTTCGACTACCATAATCACAC